ATCCTCCTCACTGTCCCACACAGGTTCCTCCATGCTCCTGGTCAACAGGAAATGGTAGAACAACCTGTATTTGATGCACAGTTTGGAGCTCACCCTTGTGGAGGAAACTCCAAAGCTGATGCTGTGGGCCATTCTGGAGATTCGACCCACAAAGTCTTCCCCTTTGAAATTCCAGTGCCTTTTAGGATTCAGAAATTTGGAATTCCAAAGGAGGTGGATAAAGGTATCTTGCTTCACAACAATGGCAAAAGAATGCCTACCCTTTTCCAAGGACCATGCATTCAGCCATTTGTAGGCCAGCAAGAATTCTTTTCCAAGAGCCATGCCTTTTGAAAATTCAGCAGGAGTGAGGAATTTACCTGCTTCATCCCACAATGCCACAAGCTTTTCCAAGCTCTTGGCTGCAGATAACATTTTTTTCTCTTCTTCTTTTTTGGTCCCAGCAAACATCTTTTCCAAGACAGGAACCAAGGCTGGAAGCAGATGCTTGCTTTCACCTGCTTTGCAGTCCATGGTGGCTTTTCCAAGCCAAGGCTTTTCAGCATTTGTAAACATGCTGAGCTTAAGATTTGTGAGCCTGTGCTCCAAACCTTGGGACTTGTATTCCTGCTGGATTTCATCGAAGATGACCCCAATCCTTTTGGATGGCCTTTCCTTACAGACCTTTCCAGGCCCTTCATACCAGCACAGGTAATGTAATATACCTCCAATGACATGGCCATAGGGTCCTTTACACAACAAAATATGCATGGGGTCACCCCTGCAAGTTTTTGCAGTAACACCAGGGACTTGGAACAAAGGGTGTTCCAAGTGGGAAGCTTTTCCAAGCTGCTCCTTCTGTGAAAATGATTTGAATTTGGACTTGTCCAAATCCAATTCTTTCACATTCAAGGTGGCCTTGCACCCTTCAAAGTTTTCAGCATTACATTCCCAGCAAGGGTACTTGGATGCCCAGTGGGGAAGCTTCAGGTGGTTGCTGAAAAATTCGTGGTCCCCTTGCACTGCCCAGATGTGAGCCTTGTACCCTTTGGGGTGCAAAGGCTGCCCTGCTTTTCCAAGCAGCTTGCTGCCCTTTCCCAAGGGCCTGCCATCTGGGCCATGAGTTGGATGAAACCCTTTTCCAAGAGCTTCAAAGGACCATTTCAAATATTTCCAAATGGTGGGCCAGGTGTCCCTGGTTGTACAGCTTTTGGGGAAGGCAGCCAGCAGCTGGTGCTGCTTCATGCTTGCCATATCACCCAAAAAACAGCCCCATGACCATACCAACATTGTATCTCTTGTTTGGTACTCCACTCCATCCCCATATACAAATATGGGAATGGAGTGGAGTTGCCAATGCTTTTCCAAGCACATGGGATGACCTTCTAGTCTGTCATCCTTGGTTGTTTGCACTCCTTTCCAAAACTTTTCCAAGGTGGAAAGTTTCTTTGAAGAACTCAGGATAATGTTCCCCAAGATGTGCAAACTGAAGATGGGGGAGGTACACTGATGCAAGCTCAACCTTTTCCAAAGAAGTCTTGGGATCAATGCACTTCACTTTGATGCCAAAAGGTTCAGGCAGCATCACATCAGAGCAGAACTTGTTCAAGATCTGCCTGTGGCAGTTTCCTGGCTGGGCACCCCAATTTCCACATTGGGCCAGCTTCACCAATTCTGGGTGATCTGCTCCATCTTGCAAAGCCAAGTTTGCCAGCTCCCTGACCATGACAGCAGAGAGGCTGCCAGAAGCCCAGAGATGGAGCAGCTTGCTGGCCAATGGTGATTCATGCTTTTCCAAGGCATCTGCCTTTTCCAAGGCTTTGTTGCCTTTTATGGCGTTTCTGCCAGATTCTTGTTCCAGCTGCCAGCCCCTGAGCCTTTTAGCCATAGCTTTTCCAAGCCTAAAATCAGCAACAGACAAACAGCTATATACAAAAGGGATCCAAGCTAGTAGCAGCTGAAGCCAAATTGCCAAGGCATGCATTTTTTCATGATGGCAGCTGCAGTACCACACCTCCCCTATAGCCCCAGTGAGCACTCATTTTTCCTGCAAGTGTCCCTGTAAGTTTATAATATGCCACCAACCCCTGTATTAGAGGTCAGGCTGCCATGGGCCACACACAACTGGGAAACAACAAATGGTTCTTTGCATGAAGACTGGTGTGCATGCAACTTTTCCATATAAAGTCAGTGTGTGGCCCATGTAGTTTGCCCTCTCAGTGTGGCCTTTTCCAAGACCAGCTGTGCGCTTTCTGTTGCCAAAGGCATTTTCCAAGGCCCTTGGTCCCAACTTGCCTTTTCCAAGGCTCCTGCTGCCCCCTGAGGGACCTTTTCCAAGATCACTTGGCTTTGGAGGAGGAGGAGGCACCCCCCAAAGCCAGCAGTCTTAGTTTCATCCTTGGCAGTCTTGACCACTTGAGCCACCTCCATCAGCTGCCCCTTCACTGGATCATCTTGCAGCTTTGACTTTCCAGTCAGCAAGGTCTTGATCTTCTGCAAAGCTTTTCCAAGCTCCTTGCTCAGATCATTGGCTGTGGTCTTGCCTGCTTTGGTCAGCTTGGAACCTGCTTTTTCCAAAGCTTCTTCCAAGTCTGACATTGTTGCAGACACCATATTCCTGGCAGTCCTGCAAGCCTTGGCAAGCTTCTCATGGGGATCAGGCTCATCCTTGTCCTCCTCCTCCTTGATGGCTCTGCCCCTGCCTCTTCTGCCTTTTCCAAGGGACCCCTGGCCTTTTCCAAGGCCCTTGGCACTACCTTTTCCAAGGCCTTCATCCACAAACAAGGAATGGCAGTCAGTGCTGAAGAGGTCTATGAACTTTTCCAAGTCCTCATCCTCAGGCTCAAACTCAACACCACTCTGCCATTCCTTCTGCCTGGCTGTGTTGATTGCTTTGTGCCAATTCTGGGTATCTTTGTATTCAAAGGTACCAGAAGTGTAGGGGCACTCTGTCCAGATCACCTTTCCAGACTGGAGATGCATCTCCAGCTCTTCTGGGCTGTACCTGGTAAGCATTTGGAGTTCGGTTTCCCAGTTATCAGTCTTAGTGACAACTTCTCCCACAGAAACCCTCCTGGAGGCTTGGAGAAACTGCTTGCCTTCCTTTTCCAAGAGCCATTTGCAAGCAGCAATTCCTTTCTCCTTCTTGCCAAGTTGGGCATGGGCCTTTTCCAAGGCCTTGTTCCCTCTGAGGGATGCCTGGTGCTTGGCCCAGAGTTTGCTCTTATCAAGCTTGGACAGAGATCCATGCAAGATTGCAGCACCCTGGTCTGCATCACCTTCAGCCTCCTCAGCTGTAGCTTTGACCTTGTCTTTGATGGTTCCTGGTTTTTCCAAACCATCTCCATCATTGCAGCCAGGCTTCTTCATGGGCTTTTCCAAACCCTTTCTTCCAGATGACTTTTCCAAGCCTCTCTGGTTGGAAGGCTTTTCCAAGCCTTTCTTCTGGGGAGACTTTTCCAAGCCATTTTTCTTCTTCATTGTTTTCATAACTTTTTTTTGGTGCCATAGTACCACTTGACACCCAAAACTGGTGACTTTTCCAAGCACAAAAGCACTTTTGTCTTCAATTTGCTTTGATCCAAAAACAGCTGCAGGTGCAAAACATGTTTTTGGCATTTTATTGTTTTTATTGTTTTATGTTTTGGGCATTGGAGCCACATGTGAAAAACATATAGTTTTCACAAAATATCTACTTTATTTTCACAAAATGAATCAAAAACACACAAAATAAATCAAATTTTCCAAAACTACAACACACTTTTTGAAAATCAAATTTGTGGTATGTTTCATGTATTTTAATTCATATTGGTATATACATATGTAAACATATTGAGCTAATAAAAAAAAGCTAAAAACATATTGTATTCTTTTTTTATTATGATTGAACCAAATATAGTATAGTATGCTTAAAAATTAAGCATTTTGAACTAAATATATTTTTGAAATCAAATTGTTTTAGTGGTAAAAACAAAGGTAATAATAAACAAAACATGGTTATACATATTATATTTTTAATTTCACAGTTTATTAGTGCACTAAAATGGCTTATAATAAAATATTGCAAGCATTTCTGGTACTTGAAAACCAACTCATTGAACTATATTCGTTTTGCAAAACATGAACTACATATAAATATATGTAAAGCATTTATTTAAATGATTTTGTGTGAAACAAATAATATGTAATTGTAATATTTTTATTTTTTTTGGTTTATGGCAAAATAAAACAAACAACAAAAATATTTAAACAAAATAAAGGTTTTCAAACTTGACAAAACTTGATCAAACTTGATCAAATTTGATCAAATTTTATTTTTTCTTTTTTGTTTAAACAAATTATTTTTCTCAAAATAAAGAATATATATTCCAGAATATATAGTTTTATTTTCTGAAAATAAATATATATATTGTTTGTTTTTTAAATTTGGTGTGATAAAGATATTAAATATTGATACTGTGGTTTCTTATTTATGAGAATCAAATTTCAAATCTAAGATATTGAAAACAGTTGTCAATTTCATGTGCCAACATGTTTCACAGAAAACAAATGTAAGTTTTTTACTTTCTACCGATTAAAATCCCTTTGCCAAAGGAACCATAACCGACAAATTTGATTATTTAAAAACAATGCAGTTTTAAATATATTTTCTGAATCACATGAGTTAATTAATAGGCATTGCAGAAAAATAAAATACTACATATCTGAAAATTAAAAAACTACATGAACAAAAAAAATGTATATAGGAAAAACCAAACCACACCATCCATATATTCTATGAACCCAAATTTCCCAAGAGAAACTCCCCCAAAAACAGTAAATGTATTTTCTCCAGAAAAAAACAGAATGTTTCTAAACAAACTGCTACACAAATAAACTACACCACAAAAATCAACAACAGAAGCAAGTTGACAAGAAAAGGCCCTTAAACTAATTGCTGCACAAAAAAAATCCCAACACAAACTCCCAGTAACAGTAAGTTCCCAGAAGGATGCTCTTAAACAAACTACTGCACACACACCCAAAAACATTGTTCCCAATACAAGTTCCCAAAAGAAGTAAAGAAAAAATATAATTTTGCACCTTCAAGATTTAAATGTGTTTTGTCAATCATGTGTTGTTTTCCCAATATATTTTTTCAAATTTATACATATATATATATATATTGATTTATTTATTTACCAAATAAATATGTTATATTATATTTAATTTTCTAAATATCTTACTGTAATTGAATTAATTTAATTTATTTTTTATTTGAATTATTTTTTTTTCATTTATGCCAGTCTGTGACCAGCTGGCAGTGTTTGCCAGCCAGTCTTTTAAAAAACAGCTGCAAGCCCCAGCTGACTGTACACTGTACAATGGCTTGAGCAAAAAAAACAGACATGGATGGGCTGCAGTGAAACCAAAAAACAACAAAAGACTATCATTTTTTTTCATGTAGTTTTTTGTTTAAATACAAAAGGGTATAATTTGGTAAGATGTGTTTTGTCATTTATATATTTATATGTTATATATATATATATATTTAAATCACTGCAGCCCAATCCATGCCTGTTTGTTGCTTGAGCTTTTCCAAGCCCATCATGCACTGCCTCTCATTGAAGGCTTTTCCAAGCCAATGACCTTGCTGGGCTTTTCCAAGCCAATTTGGCATTGGGCTTTTCCAAGCCCATGTGGGATTAGGCTTTTCCAAGCCCATCTGCCAGGTGCAGCCAGCCTTTTCCAAGACCAGGGGCCCAGCAGTCTTTTCCAAGACTACTGAGCATTGGCCCCCACCAGGAAAGCATCCACAGCTTTCCAAAAGGTGGGGAAGGCCCCCTTGGCTGCCTTCTTCTGTGAGACCTGGTAAGCATCAATGCCCCAGGCCTCACATTCCTGGCAGATATGCCAATTGTCATCAGAAATGGCAACAGCATCCCACTGCCAGGCAAGATCTGCCTTCCCACCCTCACCACATTTCTTCCAGCAGGTTTCTTTCCCAAGGCCCTGCTGGTGAATGTGGTCTGGGATCATGGCATCCATGTCCACCAGGACTTGCCTTTTCCTGAAGGCAGTGTCCACTGCAGAGAGCAGGATCACTCTGCAGTGTTCCTGCAGCTTTTCCAAGCCTGCCAGGTTGTCCTGGCTCACAACATCATCCTTTTCCAAGGTGTTGTGCCAGTCAACCACCACCACAGGCTTTTCCAAGCCCTTGGTGGCACTGCCATGGGTGGTGCTGCCCTGGGACTTTTCCAAATCCTTGGGCTTGGACTTTTCCAAGCCCTGGGCAGGCTTGCTCTTCTTTTTTTTTGCATTCCTTTTCAAAGGTGGCTGTTGGCTTTTCCAAGCCAGAAGAAGAGCTTGCAGCAGCAGGGGTGGGCACAGCCTTCCTTGGCTGGCCACTCTTGCCCCTGTGCTTGGCGCCCCCTGCCCTGGGCTCATCAGAGGTGGAGAGCTGTTCCAATTTCTTGGTAACAGCATCTGCCATCCTCTCCTGGCACCTTGCTTTTGCCTTTTCCAAGGCTTCCAGGTGCTTGGCCAGGACAGTGGGGTCAGTTGGGTCTGCCTTTTCCAAGGCTGACCACTGCATCCCCTTCCTTCTTTCCTTCCTGGCCTGGGAAGTGGTCCCATGACCAAACTTCCTCCCCTTTTTGTTGGGGGGCCCTTCAGGCTGGTCCATCTTTTCCAAGACTTTGCAGTTCAGGAGGGATTTTCCAACCCCTTGGGTTTTTCCAAACCCAGTCTCAGGGACCAGGCTTTTCCAAACCCAAAGCCATGCTTCAGCAGCAGAGCTTTTCCACGCCCACCAACAGCAACAAGCTACAAGTGGTGTTGTAGTTGTATGTGCTGACTGTGAAGTCTAGTTACAAAGTTGTGTTATAGTGGTTGTTGTTTTCTTGCCGACTTTTGTTGTTGGTGAACATGTGTATGCCTGTGCAAGTTGTGTGCTGTGCTGTGCAAGTTGTGTGTGTGTGCGTGTGCATGTAGCATGTGTGGTGACATGGTCATGCATGTAACCTGCTCAAGCATGGCTGCAGATATTCATTCAACATCAACAAGCATGCAGTTACCCTGTGGCCCCCACTAGCTACCAGGTTCCTAGCCAGTACTATACAACCAGTTACCCACCCAGTAGAGAAGCAGCAGCTACCTTTTTCCTTTCAAAATTGCTGATGCACTTCAGCTGCACTTGGCCCTTTTCCAAGGGCATGCATGTCCTTTTCCAAGAACAGGGTTGTCCTTTTCCAAGGATAAGTTGCATGTCCTTTTCCAAGAACATGTGCCAAGGCCTATGGACTGTACTTTTCCAAGAGGCCCTTCCTCATGGCCAAGGCTTCAGCTTTTGTCAGGTTGTCCTTTTCCAAGGCACACCTGATCTTACCAATAATGGCAAGGTAGTGGATGGACATATTCTGAGTCACCTCAGCAATGAGATGCAATTTGCCACCCCCCACCCTACCTTGAAGGTAAGATCTTGGCTGGGGCTTGTTAGCATCTGTTTGCTTGAGATCAACCCAAGGTTCCCTTTCTTTGGGTTCATCAGCCATGGCCTTGCCTGGCTTGCTCTTGCCTTTTCCAAGGCATGCGGCAGGCTTTTTGGCAGGTTTTGCCTTTGGCTTTTCCAAACCATAGCCCATGGCTGCATGCAACCTGCTACCTGCTCTCCTCAGGCACATCACCTGGGAGGAAGATGCACTTCTGGCTTTCTTGGAGGGGCTGCTGAACATCCCAGGGAAGCCTGCAGAGTCCAAGCTCACATCACTGATTCTGGGAGCCAGCTTTCTTTTACCTTTTCCAAGGGCCTCCTTGCCAACTTTTCCAAGCTTCCCTGCATCTTTGCTAGGCTTGGCTTTTCCAAGCTTGGCCTTGGCAGATGCTGGTGCTTTTCCAAGCACATGGGCCTTTTCTTGAAGTGATGCTTTTCCAAGCTCACTTGTGGCTGCTTTGCTCTTAGCAGAAGGTGCTTTTCCAAGCTCCACTTCTGCTGCTGTCACTGGCACCAGGGCCAGCTCTGTTTTGTTGGGCATTTTGAACTTTTTCAAGCCCACCAGCAATTCATGGCACTGGTCCCTGGTGAGCTTGGCAGCCACAGACATGAGAGCTTTGCTGCCCCTGCCAAGTTTCCTGACATGTGCCAGGAGGCAGTTCAGCCTCTCCACCTTCAAATTGGCCCACACCAGCCCAGTATGTTTCCCCAGGTTTATATCTGGGTTCTCTGCCAACAAAGACAGGAGAGCCTGTCTCAGTGGCTGGCTGTGGATCAAGCCACTTGGCTCCAGATCCAACAACCCTGTCCATAGCTTCCTGGTGGCATGCAAAGCCTTAGCATTGGGCCCAGAGCTGGAGCACATATGCTCATAGGCCCCCAGGTCAGCCAGGATATCCTTGTGCTTTTCCAAGCACTAAAAAACCAAGCCAACATCCACCAGAGGTTTGGCTTCATGTCTGGGTCCTCCCCTGGACATTGGCCTGGCTTTTTCCAAAGCCTTCCCAGACTTGGGCCTTTTCCAAGACTTGGGCCTTTTCCAAGACTTGGACCTTTTCCAAGACCTGGGCCTTGACTTTTGCAAGGTTCCAAAAGTAAGCGACAAAAACAAACTTTGAGCCAAAACTGCATGTATGGGTGGTGGACATGTCAACCATATGCACACATGAAGCAGCCAATGAGAGATCCAGATAGGTCAGAAAAGGTAAGGAGAGAAATCAATAATTTTAAAGATATAAATCAAGATTACAAAAAATGAAATCAAGAAACATATCAAGATGAAAATCAAGAAAAAATCAAGATATAATCCAGAAAAAAAAGAGAAAAAACGTGATTTCGGAGTGTCAAAAAAAAACATCAATATCTCAGAGCATCCAAATATTGATTCTAATCAATATGCGATGCTCAGGGTGGGTATGGATCATAGGTATGGATCATGTCCTCTAAAGGGGTATGGATCATGGGTATGGATCATGGGTATGGATCATGGGGTATGGATCGCATGTGCTACCGGGGTATGGATCGGAACCTTACATTTTGAGCCGCAGCCATATATGTTCCAACATATTCTATGAAGTGGTGCGGCATGGTGCTGCCTTTGTGAAGGTTGCTCACAGATCCGTTGGATTTTCATGCGGCAATGCTCTGTTGCGCCAATTTGAATTGAGAAGATTTGAGAAAGAAGCGATGAATCTATGAAGTTTCGTGGGAGAAGGTTTTTTTGTGGGATATGCGTTCGGACCTCACTTTAGGTTACCGGGAGGCCTCAGAAGCGTACCAAAGTGTCATGTTGAAATGGAAGGTGCACAAGAACGCATATCAAGCGTCCCAGCTACTTGTCCTGGCTCAAGCCCTGTACCAAACATAAATATGTATGCTATATATGTCATATTGCTCTTCCATTCGATGGGTGAAAACCAGCAAACAGGCAAAAAAAAACGGTGGTCGCGACATGAGACCCAAACCCGGCAAATCTTCAGCAAATCTAACTTTTCACCAGTCGGATCAGAATGTATGCCATACAGAACGCCAGAACTTTTGCCAGGTAAAATTTGCAAAAGATTTGCCAGATAGAACGCCATATTTGATGCCAGATAGAACAGCCGAAGCGACACCAGAAGAAATTACAGATAATAGAATGCCAGGGTTTATGTGACGGGAGGGTCGGTCGAAGCAAAGAATTGTTTTAAGTCTTTGTTTGTTGTTTTCGGTCTTTTGGTTTTGTTTATTTCTCAATAAGCCTTTGTTTTTTTCTCAGTTTGATCACAATCAAAAAATTCTGATCACAATCAGAAAGTTCTGATTGTGATCAGAAAATTCACTCAATAAGCGTTTTTTTTTCTCAATTTTGCATCAAAAATAAGCAAAATTGAGAAAAACAGCGCTTATTGAGTGAATTTTCTGGTTACAATCAGAATTTTCTGGTTGTGATCAGAAAATGTTGATTTGCATTTTTTTTGGATAACAATCAGAAAATTCTGATCACAATCAGAAAATTCTGATCACAATCAGAAAATTCTGATCACAATCAGAAAATTCTGATTTGCAAAAATTGTTTGGAACAATCAGAAAATTCTGATCACAATCAGAAAATTCTGATTTACATTTTTTTTGGATAACAAGCAGAAAATTCTGATCACAATCAGAAAATTCTGATCCTTGATGTTCAAGTTGGAGGCTTAAGGTTCAAAACCTGTAGAATCAGAAATGTTCGGATACACGTTCCAAAGTCACAAGTCACCAAAAACAAACGAACAATGCATCAGAAAAACCACTTGATAGTAATATAGAAACGCTTAAAGCAATGCCACGATCAGAATTTTCTGAAAACCAGCTCGCGCGAAACTTAGTAGATGAATCAGTGGAATCGCGCCCCCATTTTGACGGATGTTTTTCCATGTAATTTCCAGCTGCCTGGCGGTCACGATTCCCAATCTTGTCTGTCTTGCAAAAATCCATGCCAAGGATTTTTGCACACAGTCATCTTTTCATATCTTTTCTTGTCACATTTTCCAGTTGCATTTATTTCCGTAGAGGAACCTACGCCTTGTTTTCAAGGTCGAAGCACTGCTTGTTTAAAGATGTGCGGCGGTCTTGAATTTTTGGTAGCATGATATAGCATGTTTTCACAGTTGCAGCGGAACTGCGAGCACATGCTTTTGAAATATGGAGTATGATTGAGTTGGTTCAAGGAATTCTTGAAATAGGCCGTTTGTTTTGAAGTTGATAACAAGGTGAACACCTTTCGCAATCGAACGCATCCAGTGCAGTCATTTTCTCGGAACCTTGGCGCGCACTCAATATCCCTCCACACCATTCCCCGCAAGCATGTCGCGTATCTTGTTTGGGAATTTCCTTCTCAGAGACCTGTGACCCAGTGACCTAGTGGGCATGGTCATGGGGATCATTCAAACGCAGTCACTGGATCACGATGTAGATGGTCAGGATCAGCGAATTCAAACCTCAAAACATGTCTGGTGACAGCAGATCCAACTATGAAATCGCACAATTCTTCTGAAAGTTCATGGCTATTGACGGCTAGGTTACTTTTACCTGACCCAAAGTCAAAAATTCAGGGTTTATTCCATGAACCGGCCAAACAACTCCAGCAAACGCAAGCAATATCTAGCCCCATTGAACCCATGAGCCCACTTATGCACCATTCCCTTTTGGGGCGAATAAACCATATTCCCAAGAGCAGTACCTGTTGGATTTCAATTTGAGTGCGCACTGTGCTTGTCGAAACGCTGGAACCCTGGAAGCTTTAGGTGCTGTTGGATTGCAAAGCTGTGCTAACTTTGTGTTGGGCTATGAGCCAGGACACACACTTGGGCGGCTGGAAAGTTTGTTGCGCATGTCACCACCAAGGACATCAATGGGCCACGCAAAAGCAACGGAATTCCGAACCTAGGGCCAAGCAGTGGCTTTTGGTGAGTACAGCAAGGTTAACTATCGGACCTAGGATTTGGAAATTGGTAGCATTTCTTGGGTCATTCGCGTGATTCTTAGATCATTTTGCTCTGAACCTTTCTACGTCTCTTTCATGCCATACTGGTAGTGGAACCGTGAAGAGGGCTGATCAAGGTGGCTTGCGATTGTTTATTGCCTCTGTCAAACGATTGCAGACATAATCACATGTTGCCCCTCTGTTACAAGATGCACGAAGGGGGGGGACTCCAAAGAATCCTTGAGAGCTGTGAAACCAAACATATCTGCGGTGTCCCTGTGTTTTGATTCAGTTTTGATTGCTCTTGAAGACATGTTGGATTCCCAGTCCCTTTGAACACCTTCATCGTTGAACAGATCCAGCGTGAATTCTTCCGTATTCCCTTGCCACAACTTGTTGCGCAAGAGCAAGAAGCCACCATTTGTCCAGGCGAAAGCGAAATGTCAGGAAATTGAAGCTTTGGACCCGATGGTGGAACATCCTCACAGCACCAAACAGTCAGCCGTTCACAATACATGACGATTCATGAAGATTCATGGGAAAACGACTAAACCTCTTGAATGCACACTGTACATCTGCGCCCATGTGTGATTTATGATACGCATAAGAGACAGTACGCATAAGATACGCATAAGATACGCATAAGATACTTGGGTATCACATTCGCCATCCTTCTCCATCCTTCGCATATCTTGTGTGGGTTTCAGAGCACTGCCTGGCAGATTGGGGCACCTGTCTGAACTCCATGATGGTAAGGCAACTGTCGCATAGGTCACGATTGCCAAAAAGCCGACGACGAAGACAATCAGCAAGGACACGCCTCTAAAGGACACAGCAAAACTCAAGGTTTGACTTGGAAATATCTGGAGTTGAGTTGATGAATTGGATATATATATATATTTATTTAGGACTGCAGATAATTGTATTCATTGCATATAATTGCAAGATATGTTGTACCCCCTTCGCAATCAAATGGAAGCGCGAAAGAAGAAACTCCAAATGTACCCAATGGACTGAAGCCATCAAACCATTGGAAAACCGAACTTGCGATTTTGTGCTTCTAAGGGGGTCAGGCCAAATGACCTATCTGCTATCTGTCCATCTGTCCATCTGTCCAAATGTCTCTACGTAAAACATGTATTTACATATCTGCACTTGTAGATGTATACATACCAAGGGAAAGAAGGAGAACACACTTAACACATCCATCATCATCCATCCAATCTTGTCCTTTTCCGGGACGCCTAGTGGATCCAAGTCTGCAACTGGGTGTGTGAACTGCGGATGAGTCTTGCGCCCCATGAGCCCCAGTGCCTGCTGCCATCATGGTGGCTTGCTCACCTTCGCCACAGGTGATGCTGGAGTACTTCACCAAGCCTTTGGCACCAAACCATGATGGCCATGATGGCCATGATGGCCATGATGGCCGGAAAACAAAGTGGAAAATTGAAGCTTTGGTGTGTTCTTCATCGGCAGAACCCTCCTGAGGGTATGGGCGATCAACCTCTGAGATACCCGCAAACTGAATGGTTATCAAATCTACAGCGAAGCATTGCCAGGAGATGGTGGCTGCTAGGTTTTGACACATCTCCTATTGGCAGGATACAGTGTATGTGGCCTTTCGGAACATCCACCTCATCAAAACAACAACCTTCACGCTTAGAAAAATGAACCAACTTTCCGACTATGAGACGGGGCAAGATTGAGACCATAGTTTTCCAATCGTTGCTGAATACTCTCCGGAGTCAAATGAAAACTCACGACGCAGGCTCCGTGACAATTGGCTGCCTGAGTCATCCATGGCTTTCCACCATTCTTGTTGTCGTCTTTTATTGCGCTTTTAGGCTGCATTCAAACTTATTGAATCCATTTGGTACACACTTCTGCAAGTCTTCCTATGCACAACTGATCATTACCACTCTAGTATATTTCGATCAACATTTTGCACAACAACGAGATGCCGTTGGTCCAGTAAATGCAAGGCCTCCTTGTTCACAGGCTATGGGCTATCAGACGGCTATCAGTAGTACCAATTCACCTGCTAACCCCTGGCTTAATGTCAAAACTTCAAACTTATCAGCTCAACTCAGCTCAGTTCAAAGCCACACACACATACACACACACATGTGGATTTTGAATGATTTCCAAAGTGCCGAAGCGACCGTGGTCAGAGTGCTGCTGAAGAACTGTAAGAGCCATTGGGATGGACATAGCATGTCCTTGGATCTTGAAACCAAAGCCAACCCGCAGTGGAACGATTTTGGAAGATGGACAGATCGGATTTAGATGGAGACCTACAAACAAGGGTGGTGGCAGGGTTCTTTGTGACCTGGACCTGAGAATCACACCGGAATTCTACAGAATCGACATCATTAGATGATCGCGGTACAATCTTTGCTCACCCAGTGTGGTGCCTGGAACAGAACTTGTCACGATGAGACGTGTTGCTAGGGGTTGCTTGAGTCCACGGCCCGAACGGCGTGCACCTTCACTGGAAAAGCATTTCGCTCCAAGGCCACACACTTATCACAATCTGCGTCACCAAAGGCCTTGAATTCTTCCAAAAGCACCCCATTTTCGCCATTTTCATTATCTTTTTGAATTTGCTTCGAGATTAGGATTCCTCCCCGCATCCGAGCACTTGGCCGTGCGGTCCAAGAGGCATACTCTGCAAAGCCACAGTGCTCATGATAGCAAAACTGGCCTGCCGCCAAGTTATGTTCATGGAATCAATGGAATCCTATCAGGCCACATGATCTACATGCTGTACCCATGTAATTCATTTGACTTGTGAATCTACGAAGGGGAGATGAAAAGGCTTTCAATTGCTGATTGCCCAGGCCACCACCATGAAACGAAATAGCTCTGCCGTCACCCAGCCTGCATGTAATGACCAATCGTGTTGGCTGTCCTGAGCACAAAGAATCACACAGTGTTGCTGGGAAACAGCGCTGATCAACGTATAGCTTCCAAGCTACAAAACCATGTGAACATGTGCAGTGTCCAAACCGCTCATAAGGATCATAAGGGCGCGAAGATTGGGATTGGCCAAGACATGAAAAACAAAATGCCCTTAAGATGCTCCAGCAAACACCGACGCGGAAGGCACTTCATGTGCCTGCATTTCCCTCAGAAAAATGCTGCTAAATTTCTTTGCCGGCCGCCATTGCAACCATTTGGGCAAGCATTTTGAGATGAAGAACAATGCCTGGCGTGCAAAGTGAGTCCGTGAGCGGATAGTTGGTATGCACTGTATGCACCTTTTCTGTCGGCACAAAATATGTGTCACCTTGGCAGGGTCCTCATTTCCGAACCAAACGGAAGATGTGGGTGTTCTGCACCCGTGCTGGAACAAACCGACTGTTGGATTTCCAAGCAATGCTCAAATATACAGAAAAGGTGTAACAAGACACTCCAATTCAAAATTTCGAAGTGCAAACAGGCATGACCGAGGCATGACTTTGTCCATACTACATGGCATGTCAAGCGACACCAAACCGCAGCTGCTTTGATTCTGATTACGCCGGCAGGCACGACAATTGTTGCCAACACCCAAACATGTGTCAAACTTGTCATGAGAGAAGTGCAAAAAGAGATACAAAACCCCAAGAGAAACTCCCAGGGACCGGCTGGGGTTTACTGACAGGTGGGCAGAGTTGCGCCCTTTCAATCTTAAGAAATGACACCTGTGATTGCGTACCGCTTTCAGTACGGATTTCTTGCTTTTTCATCCAACAACTGAATCCCGTCGCCAACAACATTTAGCCAGACTCATTTTACTACTTGACATTGCCCTAGCTTTGATCTATCTCTATCTTGGTTGGCCATGTAGATCTCCTACAGGATTCCTGTGATTTTTAAACGCCAGGTGCCCAATTTGAATCAAGCCACACACATCCATGCCATTCCTGTGGGGAACACGAGCACCTGGATGCTGATGGATGTGAAAGCCAGCAAAGCAAAATCTGGAATGCCAGAATGACTAGAACGAATAGAATGACTAGAATGAGTAGAATGAATCCGCCGGCCTGCCGGCGTGTCTTGTGGATCTTGCTTGTTCGTAGTTGTACTGTTTGTTTTGTCTTTGGTCTTTGTCTAGACTTTCCCCTTGGCGCGGATTTTTGCCTCGTCTAACTTGAACCCGCCCCCCCCTCCCGCCCTTCATCATCCGCGTCGTGCTTTTCATCTTTCGTTTCGACCTTTGTTTACAGACATGATTCGGTTTCAACTCAAACCCCGTTTACGCAAAACCCATGTTTTGTGTCTCCTCTTCGTGTTTTTCCTCTGCATCTTTCGTTGCAATGTGCTGGGTTCGACTCTGCCCACGCCTCGCGCAACATGCGCATGTTCTTTTTTGTTCCCATTTCCATTGTGGTGCTCGCGATCGGTTTGCTCTGTCATTCTTGCACCTTCTACGTTCCTATACCTCATACAGGTGGCCTGTCAATCCACTTGCTTTTGTGCAAAACACCATTTACACCTGCAACCTTTCTATGTATGGCCTTTTCCAAAAACCTTGGTTCACACACTGCTTCGGTTTAAATTCAAACCCTCGTTTACGCAAACACCATGCTTTGTGTAAAAACGCATCTTCCTACTAAACAAAACGCTGACTGACAGGAAAAGAAACGTTTTAAGTGTTTCACAGAAACCCCATGTTTTACACCACCCTTCCCTGCGTCCTCAGCTTCACGCTCTTGGTTGGCTAGCTGGCTTGCTATTGTCTAAGCTTTCTTCTGCCGCCGTTGCTTCGCCATGAATGTGCTACAAGGGCTTTCTAGGGGTGACGCCCTGTCTACAAAGTGAACGTCCTCACAGTGGAGATGCAGTTCAAAATGCACTGGCTTCTGCTAACGCCTTGGCTTTCAAAATCTGGGCCCCTATCCTGGCTGCTGCTATGCTGAGCTGCACGCACTTGCACTTTATCTCCTCCTATGTCCTGTCTCTGCTTTACATGTTTGAGACGCCAAAATCTTTTCAGTTGCGTTCATGGCCCCAAATCTGCACCCCTATCCTGACTGCTGCTACGCTTTACTGCATGCACTTGCACTTTATCTCTCCTATGTCATGTCTCTGCTTTGAAGGTTTGAGAAACCCAAATAGCTCTGGCCGTGGTGGCCGGCGGAACACGCCAACGGCGGTTAAATAGAATGAAAAGAATGAATAGAATGAATGGTTGTTTGAGTATTTGTATGCATTGACTGGGGATTCCTGAGCCGTGTGACATCGTGTGACACTGCGCTGCCCGGTGCAAACCTTACCCCTCGAGGATCGGTCCCATTCGGCTCTAACCGATCCAACTGCAGAACGCAATAGATCCATTCAGTCTCTTCCAATTTGAGGCTGGGAAACTTTGGCGATGTAGCGGGCGGAAGCTTGGTCCGAAGCAATGCATGAGAAGGACAAAGAATCCACATCCTTCGCTGACAGTGGCTGGATACGGTTACTGAATCTGGGAAAGAGTTGTGTCAGTGTCTGCTACGGCTAGAATTGGACAGCTAGAAGGCTAGAAGTGAAAGCCAACTGCAACAAAGAAATGATGCTGCTGGGCAAGAACACCTTCACATACTTCACCACATGTATGTATAAAGCTCGATGCAAATATAAATTACATCTGCAGCGAAATACATGATCAACTAATGGTGAAACGGTGAAACCTTACAGAGCCACAAACTTTGAACCTTGCAACACCTTTGAGCACTCTACTCCAACTATGCACAATAATCAACTGCGAAACGCACTCAGTATTTGTTGGCGGTCAAATTGTCAAGGATATCTATCATTGTCCGCACAAAAACGTCTGCAGTCAATTTGCCAAGGAGATCAAAACAATTCAAAGCATATTCGGCGGTCGAAACTGCTCTTCGCCAAGACGCTAGAATGAAAAACTGAATCACAGAGAGTGAACCAGAAACACTCGATGGCCATTCCTGAGTTCCCAATGGGTTGGCGCCATTTCACTTGTTCCTATTTGCATCACTGCTAATCCCAATTGACCCTCACGCCTGTCGGAAAACTTGGAATGATCTTCCACACAACTTTAAGGGAGCAAGGCCATCTATGAACCGGAATCCAATGTGAATCATTGCAATGGCTTAGGCGACAATCAAATGATCGTCTGGAACTCTACGGGGTCGGGTCTGCAATCGCCTCCTTTCAACTGACACTTAGAGACCCTGATGACTGTTTGTCAGCGCATTCCAAGTTCATGGACGTGTCCATGCAAAAAGGCGACTGAACTAATGGAACCCTCAAAATCACGAAGGTGCAACGGAAACTAAGCGGGGAAGAGCTTCATGCGGCTCAAGCGTGTTCATGTGGATTTCACTATCCAACATTGTCCAACGGCCTACAGCATGCTACAGCCTGGTTCGCCACATTTCCTCAGTTGAGAGTCCACAGTCATCATGGCAATGATCGCCACAGTCCTGAGCAAAATGAATATCTTGAAACCGCTCAGGCAATGTCTTCAACGGGGGCTAGATTGAAACCTCCCCAACATGAAAGCTGCGATAATCTGCGATATTTGGTTGATTTGACCTTCCTTGGGAGAAAGAGCCTTGCGCCTGTATCAATGGCCAAGATGCCACGCTTGAATTAAGTAGAGCATGGAGATCCACATAAGTAGATCGGTAGGTGGATCAATGGGTAGGTATGGAATGTAAAGACAGGAGCGACATATCCAGGCATGGATGTATTTGGTTATAAATCTCACAGTTCCCATATCTTATCTGATATATGCACCAGTTGAGATGCAACAATATACAATGAAATAGACATACAAACATGAAGGATGCAAAACCGATAGACAAAGAGATAGCAAACAGGTATACGGTATAGGTTGGTAGGTAGATAGCGCAGTAGATAGAGATATGCAAACCACTTGCGAACACTGTCTTCAAGGTTCAGCCCAAGGGCATTGCTGTGACTCGTGACCATGAGATTATCATGAGATGTTGGTCGATGTTGGTTTTGTCAGTTCTGAGTTCATCACCATTTTCCTCACGGCCCAAGTCGGCCCAAGGCACTGAAACCACATAATGGCCAAGCCAACAGAGACCCCCCAAGTCTGTCGAGCTGTTGCCTTGGCGATGGGATGCCATGGGATGCCATGGGATGCCATGGGATGCCACATGGGATCCCACAGCTTCAACGAAGGTAACGAAGGTGTCCCCAGCATTCAGCCGGATCGGGAAGAAAATGCAGCAGAGATCTACAAAGATCCAGCTGAGCTGCGATGGCATCGATTTTTGGATTCATGAAGTAGTAACCACCTGGACACTGGAGAGCTGTGGCACTTTGGCAGTCACGAAGCAAAAAGTGGATCACTTGTGGAGAACTCATGTCAAACATAAGCTTCACATTGCGAGTTCACATGAGTTTCACCTATTCTCAGTATGGTCTGACAAGTTGCAGAGCAAAAAAAGGCAACCACAGCATGGATGCATTCTGAGACTGGAAGCCTGCAAGAAATCTGACATGCTCTTGGGCAAATGTTCAACCATGTTTTGCCTTTTATTTGCATGTAAGACACTTGAGACGTACAAGCACAACATGAAGAAGCATATGTCTTCAGTCAATGAAGAAGAGTCATTTCAAGAGATAGTTCCTCAGATTTAAGACCCATCGAGATATGTCATACTTCCAACTTATAACTTAATTACAACAAAGGTATTCTTTCGGAAAGCCATTCACCCCAGGGCACCTATCAATGCGCAGAAGAACCTAATGACGTCCGACCACCAAGCACGGTGTGATTTGCACAGATGTCACCAATTGTGACATGATGTAGCATGGTATGTGCATCTCAGTGCATCAATTTTGTGCATAGCATGACCTGGTGACAATCTTATCTGCGGTCTCTGGATTTCAGTAAACATCCAGCATTGAACCTTTCAAATGTTATGCTCACCTTCTGCACAAACATCACCGACATGAGGCAATCGGTCAGGGCAGCACAGTTCACATTAGCGCCAAGGAGCAAAGGCACGCAACACCTCAAACAGCAAATTGCCATGCAAATTTCATCACAATATAATTGAATCGTTCAACCCAAATCACATTCCTCACGCGCTGACAACCAAAGCATCTCGACCCTCACCATATCTTGTCCCGCATGTGACGCTACCTATCTGGTTCACTTGTGCTGTGAAGGGCATTGAAGGGCTTCTATTAACTTCTGCGTTCCTACATTCTCTCCACAAAAGTCCAAAGCCAAAACAGTGATCTGGCTGTTAGTCACTTGACCAGTAGAGAAAGAAACGGCACCGTTTTTCTTAACCAGCAGGGGGATGTAGCAGTCCCAGATTGCTGCACAAGACTCCACCACAAAAAGCTTGTAGAGGGGTCGCAGGCTGTGCATTCGCTTCCCGTCCATGTCATTCCTGGTGCTCTGCTTTGTAGGCAGCATACGCAGCATAGTCAAACCATGTCAAACCGGTTTAGCTCCATTTTAGCTCCATACGGGCCGCTGAAAATCACCTTGATATACGAGGCCGGAGCTTGATAATTAGAGTTCACCTCCACCCGACAAACCGCTCCTGTAGGACATTCTGCGCAGATCATTCCTGCATTTGAGGGAGAGGGTCAAGGTTTCTGGGAGGT